AAAAAGGACTCCAGTGATTTATTAAGCCAAAAAAAAATTAAAATGAAACAGCATTAAAACAGTGTGTCCCCTTTAAGAGTGAGTGCAGGGATAGGAACAGGGGAGAAGGTGAGCACTAAGACCCAGGGGAATCTTGTGCCAGTAGCCTTGGGGAACCAGGTAAGCATGAGGGCTGGGGTTGGGGGGCTGCGGGAGCTCGGGTGGGTGGGAGACCGGGCACTGAGTGTTTGTAGGGTTTCCAGGTGCCCGGCATTTTCACCTCCTGGCCGGGGAAAAATTCAGAAAATACTGGACATCTCAGTAGTCTCCGGTATTCTCTGAATTTTTTTACAGGACAGGAGGCGAAAGTACTGGACTGAATACCAGACACCTGGCAACCCTAGCCACACCCCTTTTTCCTGAGGCCATGCCTCTTCTGGGACCACTGCCACCTGGCCTTGCTCACAGGTCCAGTGAACCTGTCAACCCCCCAACCATAACCAAACTCAACTTGTGACCAAGAAACACAGCTGTTGTATGCAACCCCTAGGCAGAATTAGAGTAGGAATCATTATAACATGAGGCTAAAGAGAGGGTATCAAAAGGAAAGGGGGGTTGATTCTGATCTATCTTGCATTGATTTTTGCTGGTGTAATTTTAGTAAAGTCAACCAGTGTGACATCAGAATTAGGGATGTCAATGCGTAGCCTGTGCTTATTGGTTAATCTTCTTTACTACATGCACTCCCCTCTCCTTGCTGCCTCTGCCTCCCCACAAGCACTGGCTCCTGCCAGCCCCCTCTGCGTGTAAATGTGTAACTACTCAAATTTCCAGTGCTTACATGTTTACACAACTACACAATAGTTGACATCCCTAATCAGAATTAGACCAGGGTTCCAGAATCCCAATAGATGTCAGTTGGAATAGCTCCAGCCGTGCACCTGTTCCAATTCACAGCCACGAAAGAGCTGACTCGGGTTTTTGATGGTGGCATTTCATCCAGCGTGCTGCCTTGAGAACAAGGGCTGCTTTTCAGTTGCAAAGGTACAGGTGTACTTTGAGGGTGTGTCTAAACTACATGGCTCCATCAATGGAGCCATGTAGATTAGGCTGATCGGCAGAGGGAAATGAAGCCGCAATTTAAATAATCGTGGCTTCATTTAAATTAAAATGGCTGCCGCACTGAGCCAACAAACAGCTAATCAGCTGTTTGTCGGCTCAGTGCGCTAGTCTGGACGCTTCCGCGCCGATCCAAAAGCCCTTTATCGACCTCCCCGTTATGCCTCGTAGGATGAGGTTTACCGGGGAGGTCGATAAAGGGCTTTCATGTTGACAGGGGAGCATCCAGACTGCCCCTATCTGCCGACAAACAGCTGATCGGCAGAGCGGGGCAGCCATTTAAATTTAAATGAAGCCGCGATTATTTAAATTGCGGCTTCATTTCCCTTTGCCGAACAAACAAATCTACATGGCTGTGTCGATGGAGCCATGTAGTTTAGACGTACCCTGACTGTTGTTGTTGATGAATTTTTTATAGCAGCAAGTGTGTCCTGGGAGTTTCACCAAAAGAAATGTGTTCAGTAGGACAGGGAGATCTAGCACCGTCTCATAACATGCCCAGTAGACATCACAGTATGGCAGTGGACAGCAGCACATTGTCTAAATTTGGGTGTGCAGAGTAGTGCATTTGAGAGAACAATGCCAGCCTTTCAGTCATTTGTCTGTCAGTCTCTTTGCTAAGGTTTATTTTAATTACCTTTGCCCTGTATCAAAAAGGCCAAGGATTTGGTGGTGACAGCACACAGCCAAGCAGCACATGGGCACACAAGATTTAAAGTGCCATCTCCATGACTCCTTTGGTCTCTCTCCAAAACCTACTTGAGTGCGTCTATGTAGTTATTTAAATACAGGTTGGATCTCCCTGGTCTGGCACCCTCAGGACCTGACCGGTGCCCAATGAGGGAAATTGTTGGACCAGGGGAGGTCTCCTGCCACTAGCCTTCCAGCCTGCCAACCATCCCCACTGCTGGCTCCTTCTGGCTCAAGCCCCAACCCCGTTGCCACCGGACTCGGGCTCCGCTGAGCACGAGCCCTGGTCCCGCTGCAGCTGGGCTCAGTCTCCAGCTGGTTCTGGTCCTGCTGCTGCTGGTCTCCAGCCAGAGCTCCTCAGGGCCACAGCTTCTCCCTGGGGATTCCTGGCTGTACTGCAGGACTCCTAACTACACCTCAGCCTCCCTCCCGGTATCCTCACCTGACTGTGGTGCCAGTGCCCCCCTCCTCTTTGCCCAGCCATGATGCCGCCTCCCCTTTGCCCAACCATGGGACTGTCTGGTCCAGGAACATATGTGGACCTGCCGAGTCAAAGAGTCCCAGTTTAGGGAGGTACAACCTGTAGACGCATCCATCTCTTCCATTTATTAATCTTTTCGCATCAGTGCTTGAAAAAACTGTGATCATCGCAGTTACATGCAAAACTGTTGGGCTATTTTACTGTATTAAAACTTAGACAAGTGGGGCCAGATTTTCAGCAGATTCAGCATTTTGAGTGTGGAGCTCTTTTCAAAATCTGCCCAGAAGTGTCACAAGTGGAGCGGCTGGGTGCCCAGGGATTTTGAAAATCTGACTTCTTTTAGGGGAGCTGAGCGCTTTTGAAAATTGGCCCCCAGTTGTAAGCACCAGGCCCTTGAAAGTTCGGCTTTTACTGTTTATCCATCTTTGTAAAATATTTTGAAATCTATTGACGAGAAGGGTTACTCAAAGGCTGGTTATTTATTACGAATTAACTTGCCACTGTGACTGGTCAAAAAACTGAATATGATCCCTCAAAAGCCCTAACTATAGTCTACTAGAGTATGTCTACACAGCAAAGTTATTTCGAAATAACAGCCCTTATTTCGAAATAACTTTCCAAGCGTCTACACAGCCAAACTGCTATTTTGAAATAAATTCGAAATAGTGGAGCGCTTATTTCGAATTTGGTAAACTTCATTCTACAAGGAATAACGCCAAATTCAAAATAGCTATTTCAAAATAAGTGCTGTGTAGACACTTATATCGAAATAGGGGGCCCCCCAGCCTTCCCAGGGTGCCCCGGTGGCCACTCCGGCCTCAACCAAGAACACTTCTCTCCCTCCCCCCTCCCCAGAGCCCTTAAAGGGCTTGACTCTGGCCACAGTGCCTGTGCCAGCTCCAAACCTGCCAGCCCAGAGCCAGCAGTCACTGCCTCTGACCCAGTGGCCCCAAAACATGAGCCAGCAAGCCATTGGCAGCCAGCCCTCCACCGCTCCAAAGGAGCAGTCTGCCAGCTCCCAGGAGCCTGCCAGGACCCGGAGAAGGTGGGCGTCTTCCTGGTCCAGGGCGGAAATCACGGACCTTATTCAAGTTTGAGGGGGATGCCTCCAATGTCCATGATCTCCGCACTAGATGGAGTAACGTGGCCGTCTATGGCAGGATAGCTGGCCACCAAAGGCCACATGCGAACCCAGGAGCAGGTTTTCATGACAATCAAGTTGGTCCGGTGAGACCCCCCCAAACCCTGAGCCCTGAGCCCCTCCCCCTTCCAAAGGCCACATACGAACCCAGGAGCAGGTTTGCATGAAAATCAAGTTGGTCCAGAGACACCCCCATCCCTGGGCTCTGAGCTTCCCCTCCCGCTTCTTCCCCTTGCTTCCCCCTTCCAGCTGCCTCCTCCCAGGTTTCCCCCTCCCCTCTCCCACCCTCTCTTCTCCCCTCTCCCGCCTCCTTTCCCCAGACTCACCAGAGTTTCATTCCCTCCCCGCCAGTTTTGTTAAATAAAGAGAGTTTGTGGTCATGAAAATACGTGTATTTTATTTGACATCAGGAAGGGAGGTTAGGGAGGGGTAAGTGGAAGGACGTGAGGGAGGAATGAGGCACAAGCCCCCAGGGGGGAGACCAGGGAGGCTCTTAGTGCTCCTCAGGGTGGAAGCTCTCCCTCAGGGCCTCATGAATATTGACAGCCCCCTGATGGACCTCCTGGATGGCAGCCTTCAGAAAGTGCAGCCAGGCTCACAGCAACGCATCCAAGAGAAGCACAAGAGTGCCCAGAGGCAGCTCTGGCTCTGTGTTGCAGAGTGCTATAGTGTCCCGAGTGAAGGCAACCAGAGCACGCAGAGACAAAATGCTTTGCTGTCCCTCATCGAGGTAGACAAGCAAGCAGGGAAACCTGAGAAGTGGCTGTCTAGGGGAGGAGGGTCTCTTTAAGCATAGACCTCAGATAGCCTCAGGCAACAGCCCTACACAGTAAGTCCTGACCCGATACCCGGCCGGAACTATTTTGAAATGCATTTTGTGTGTTGATGAGTTATTTTGAAATAAGCTGTTTCGAAATAACTATTTTGAAATAAGATATTTCAAAATAACCCCTAGAGAGGGATGCTCTAACCACATCAGAGTGAGAATATCCACTGATCTCAGAAAAGAGAATCAGTCAGTACCCATTCTAGGACGCTAAGAATCATTCCTTGTACTCTGGCTATTAAGACTGTTGCTTTCTGGAGTGAAGGAAGTGTGCTTGTAACAATGTTCTGTGTCTATATAGAAAAAGCACAGAGCAGAGCTCTTGAAGGGGTGCTTTTATGATATGATACTTTCACTCAGGAACAGAGGTTTAGTGATGTAGAATCCTAACTTGGATTGGGCAGTGAAACTAGCTTGTGTCAATGCTCCAGTGTGGGAATGAAAAGTTGTCAAAAATCAATATGCTAAATTAGGAAAGGCGGGGGGGAGGGTAGTAGAAGGGAACAGGGAAGCTTAAAATATAAAGAAAATAGTAGTGCAGGGCTAACAGGAAATAGTTCGCTATGGAGAAAAAGTATTAAATGTAATCTGAAGTGCCATTGTTCAATGTGTGTGTTTATGTGTATGCCTGCATGGGGATCTTCATACCAGATTATATGTAAATAGATTTTTCTTCTTTCAGAATTGCAGGTGCTGTAAAGGAGACTAATCTCCACCCATTGAATGGTCACCAAAGATGTGAACTCTGCTCTTTTTCCTTCTAGCAGGATGGAAAGTTGAACAGCACGGGCTTGACTCTCCTTTGGCTTTCATGATGGCAGCAACTAGTGGAGAAAGCCAGCTACAGAGGATTATCAGAGATTTGCAAGGTATGGTGCCTCTTGGCAGCTTCATTGTCCAGGCTGGAATGCATCCCTCCTGTTTTCATTGAAGGGGAGGTTATGGGTGTGTGTGTTCTCTGATGTTTGTGTATGGCATTAGTGAGGGAAAATTGTACTGTTCTGCACAGATGTGACTCTGATTTCTAATGTTACATAAAGTTTAGGAAGTCCTTTTGTAAGATTTTACAAATAAATAAAAATTCTCCCTGCTTGAGATCTACTCTTTCTGTAAACGGTAGATTGGATTAGGAATGTAAGTGACTAGCTTATCGGGTAGTCGAGTAGTGACTCAATTCTATCAGAAAGAGGCAGCAAAGGGGGGCAGAAGGAGCTGATGCTGGGGGCAGCTGTCTTAAAAGCCAGTTCCCCACAGCACCATCTCTGCAGGAGGTAGGGGAGGCAGATGCACAGCTGGGAAACAGTCCCCACTCGCCCCGTGTTCCGACTGCAGCGCTTGAGCCTTTGAAATGTAGCAAGAGCCCCATAAGGGCATGACAGGGTCATTGTTCACTCAGACAAATACCTTGTTTGTAGTACTATGCGGCAAACAGTGATGACAGGCCTCCATAGGAGGGAAGGAAAGGGAAGGAGGATGTTTCCTTGGTAATCATAGAATACTAGGGACTGGAAGGGACCTCAACAGGTCATTGAGTCCAGTCCCCTGCCCTCATGGCATGACCCAGTTACTGTAATCAAATATGCGCCTGAGGAGGAAGATTCAGGAAGGATGGTCCTTATGGATGTTATATATCTTGATTTTGAAACAATCCCACGTCATCCTCATAAGCAAATTAGGAAAATATGGTCTAGAGAAAACCACTATAAGGTAGGTGTATAACTGGTTGAAAGACTGTACTCAAACAGTAGTTATCAGTGGTTCACTGTCAAACTGGGAGTCAGTCCCGGCTCAAGTTACTATTGACTATTTTCATTAATGACTTGATTAACAAAGTGGAAAGCATGCTTATAAAATCTGCAGATGAGCACCCACGTCTGGAAGGGTTGCAAGCACTTTAAAAACATGGTAAGTATTCAAAATGATCTTGGCAAAGTTTGGTGTGAATTCAATATAATGAAATTCAATGTAGACAAGTGCAAAGTGTACTTAACTTGAGAAGGAAAATTCAAATGCATAACTACAAAATGAGGAATAACTGGCTAAGGGGTAGTTCTGCTTAAGAAGATCTGGGGGTGATAGTGGATCATAAATTGAATAAGAGTCTATAGTGTGGTGCAGCTGCAAACATGACTAATACCATTCTGCAGTGTATTAGCATCTATGTTGGACGTAAGACACAGGAAATAATTGTTCTGCTCTACTTGGCACTGTTGAGGCTCAAGTACTGCATCCTACTCTGAGCACCACAGAAAGAGTCCAGAAGAAAGCAACACAAATGTTAAGATTTAGAAAACTGGACACATGAGGAAAGGTAAAAAAACCTGGTCATGTTTAGTCTTGAGGAAAAAGCCAGAGGGGACCCGATACCAGTCTTTAAATATGTTTAAGGTTGTTAATAAAAGGACAGTGATAATTAACTGTTCTTCATGTCCACTTTAGGCAGGACAAAAAGTAATCACTTAATATGCAGCAAGGGAGATTTAGATTGTTAGGAAAAACTTTCTAGCAATAAGGGAATTTAAACTCTGGAATAGATGTTCCAAGGATGGTTGTGGAATGTCTATCACTTGCGTTTTTAAGAACAGGGTGGACTAACACCTGTTAGGGATATAGTCTAAGTTTTCTTTAGTCCTATCTCAGCACAGAGGTGATAAGTCTCAGAGGGATAACCATGTTAGTCTGTATCTGTAAAAACAGAAGTTCTGTGACATCTTAAAGGCTAACTGATTTATTTAGTCATCAGCTTTCATGGGTAAAACCCATTTCCTCAAATGAATTGGAGTGGAAATTACAGAGATAGAAAAGAAGGGCGTTACTTATCTAGTGTAGGATCAGTGTTAATGAGGCCAATTCAGTCAGGGTGGATGTGTCTCACTCACAACAGTTAATTTAGAAGTGTGATTTAGCAGGCTCTTAATACATTTAAAAGGCTAAAGTGCAGTGAGGGGACCCAGAGCAAGCTGGGAATCAGCTGTCCTGGTTCGCGCTGGGTACCCCCCAATTACGCATTGGCTTTTTAAATGTATTAAGAGCCTGCCAGCTCTTAATACATTTAAAAGGCAGAGTGGCAGCAGGGTTAGCTCCCGGGGCCGAGAGCTAACCCCGCTGCAGTTACCCCGCTTATCGACTAGTTGATGGAAAATCCATCGACTAGTCGATTAGTTGATTAAACTAAATTTAACACCCCTAGTAGTAAGATAACCAATATAAATTCTTAAAAATAGCCATTCTTCTGCAAAATACTTCCAAACCAGATTATAAAGAGTAACAGCAGAACTGCAATTCATTTGCAAATTTAATACAATCAATTTAGGACTGAATAAGGATTTAGAGTGGTTATGGTGGGCAACAGCCTGGGAGACGGGCGATGGAGTTGGGGAGACTGACAGGTCGTTCCAACTCCTGCCACTATGGGGAGTGCAGGAGGCTGATCCCTACTGCTGCCTCATGCCAGGCTCCTCGGGTAATTCCCCAGACTACTCTGGGCCCCACGGGTTCTGTTCATAGGATGGTTGAGGCAGTCACTGTGGGGCCCCTCAAAGCATGGGGTTTGCGGTGGTCACCCCAAACCATCATATGGAAGGGACAGTTCTGCTATCAGCAAGATCCTGCGCTGTCATTAAGGCTTGGTCTGCAGTACAGAGTTAGGTCGACACGAGGCAGCTTACGTTGACCTAATTATGTCAGTGTACACACAATAGCCTTGCTCCCTCTGATGTAAGTGCCCTACCACAGTGACATAATAGGCCTGTCTCCCTGAGGGGCCTATGGCTTATGTTGGTGGTATTACACCTGTGCCACATCCCTGTGGACACTGTGGAAAAAAGCCTGTCGACAGATACTGTCAACAAAGCCTCTGTTGACAAAGAGTGTCTAGACTACATACAGTTCTATCGACAAAGCAAGCCACTTTGTTGACATGACAGTGTAGACGCAAAGGACAGCGTAGATGCAATAACACCTTCTGTCGACAGAACTCTGTCGACAAAAGGTGTTATTCCTCATAGAATGAGGTTTACAGCCGTCGACAAAACTGCTGAGTTCTGTTGACGTTATGTTGTCAGCCAACGGTCAGGGCAGTGAGTCCCTTATGACCGGCTGAAGTTCTTTTAAATTGTGCTTGGTTCTGTTCCAGCAACTGAAGGAGTCAGGTTAAAGCTTAAACAGTTACTATTTTATTGTTATAGGATAAACTTAGTTGTTAATTGCTACTACTGTGTTACAGATAACACAGTCACTACAAAGGACAGGACAGAAATTACACTAATAAGTCACTTATAGGTACCATGAAACCCTTTTGGTTCTCTGAGCTCTTATTAAATGCATGCAAATAGACACATAGCAGGTATATATTCTCACCCCTGCGTTCCAGACTTGGCATGGCCAGCGTCTTTCTCTCAATCCCTCGTGAAGAAGTAGGACGAGGTTGGGTGTCCCACGGACCTCGGGAGACAATCAATACCTGCCAGCAGGTATAGATGATTGGAGCTCAAATGGGGTGGGCTACTAAACCCTCTTTATACCCCTTGGGTCACATAGGCTTCTTCCTGGTCTCAAGTGGCCAATTAGGAAAAATGGCTTTGAACACCAAGTTTCCCACAAAGGGTGCAAAGCATAATTCACACCTGGGAAAATGCAGACAATGGGCACCTCTGGTATATGATGGGCGAAGATTCCTCTTCTGGGACAGTGCAGGCGTGTCAATTACTGGTACTAGCCATCAGGGCGACAGGAGGCCCCTGGTCGTCAGCTAGCCAATTTACTGTCTGGTTTCTGTTTATGGTAGAGTCAGGGACAGGCAGCACACCTGCGTTCCCAGGGCATCAATGACTGCCTTTCTCTTGCTCTCTGGCGGGGGGGAGGGGAACAAGACGGGGTTCGTGTCTGGCTACATATGTCGACAGAACTCAGTGGCAATGTAGATGCAGCTATAGTTATGTCAACAAAAGTCCACTTTTGTTGACAAAACCCTGTAGTCTAGACACACCCTGTGTTATGTTCTTCAGCTGTTGGCTCCAAATTGATAAGAAGGCCAGGGGAGGAGAGGCAGGCAGTTCAGCCTCCTCTGTCCCATATTCTTGCTCAGGGAGGTGAGAAGCCCAGGTGGCTACTCCCAGCAGAGGTGCAAGAAGCCCTGAGAGGGCAGGTGGGTTCCCAGTGGGGAGCTGCCTGGAGCTCTCAGCCCCCCATAATATCTGAAGAAGTGGGCTGTGCCCACAAAAGCTCCTGATACAATCTGCATGTTTTATTACTTTATAAAGTGCTACTAGACTATTTGTTATTTTTTAAGTTTTTCCTGTTACAGACTAACTCAGCTACCCCTCTGAATCTCTTCAGTCAGTGAGGACACGCATCATCAACAAAGGAGAGTAGTGAGGACATCAGTCGCTGCAGTAATTACCAAAGTGGCTCTAAATTGATGTAGCGTAGGTCAACTTCAATTTATAGTGTAGACATACCCTTTAAGAGACTTTGACAGAAAGTGAATACATACACACAATGCAAAGAGAGACAGCCCATTTATTTATTTCAAAATGTTTGTGTATTCAGACCAAAACATCATCTATCTTTAGTCCTGTATTCTGGTGTTTTGTTTTAAAGATGCTGTGACAGAGTTAAACAAAGAATTTAAAGAAGGAGGGGAACCAATCACAGATGACAGCATCAACTTGCAAAAGTTTTCCTACAAACTTGAGTACCTTTTACAGGTAAGTGACAGAACAATGTACAGGTTGAACCTCTCTGGTTCTTGGGACCTGAGTGGTTCTGAACAGGAGAATTTGCCGGAGCAGGAGAGTCAGGCGTCCAGGCTCTCCTGGGGCTCCCTTCTGGCTGCAGCCCTGGGAGAACCCGGAGGCATGAGCTCCTCTGGCCCACCTGCTTGGTTCTGTTGCCCCCAGCCTGCCTGCAGAGCTCTGCTCCCAGGATTCCCCAATCCCGTGAAAGGTGGTAGCTGCTCCCAGGGCTCCCCCAGCCTTGTGCTGGCCAACCCAGCTCAAGGCGGCAGGTGCTCTCAGAGTTCTCCCAGCCCACATGGAGCAGCAGCGTCTCCCAGGGTTCTCTGACCCCCGCCACCTTGCCCCGCACAAGGCAGCAGCCACTCTTGGGACTCTCTGCCCCTGTCCCCCACAGAGTGGCAGTGTCTCCCGGGGCTCTCTACACCCGGGCCATTGGTCCTGCAGGCTGCACGCTGACCAGACCAACTGTGGCTCTCAACCTCTTTGGCCAGGGCTCTCTGGTCCAGCAACATCTGTGGTCCTACCGGACCACAGATGTTGCCAGACCACAGAGTCCCAGACAAGAGAAGTTCAACCTGCATAAGGACCTACCAAATTCACTGTCCATTCTGCTCAATCTCATGGTCATAGAATTTTAAAAATCATAAATGTCATTGTTTCAGATACAATACCATGGCATTTCATATTTAAGTAATTGTAGGGATCCTGGTCCAAAATGGGCTGGAGGGGGGGGGTCACTAGATTATTGTAAAGGGGTTGAGGTATTGCCACCCTTACTTTTAGTCTGCTGCTTGCCAGATGCTGCCTTCGGAGCCAGGTGTCTGGCCAGATGCTCTCTCACCACCCAGTTGTAAAAGCAGCGCATAAGCAGTGGTGGCAATACTGCCACAACCCCTCCCCATAATAACCTCGCAACAACGCCCCTTCTCTCCTCCCCATGGCCCTCTTTTGGGTCATGGCCTCCAGTTGGAGAAATGCTGTTTTCCCCATGACATCTATATAGCATAGGGTAAAAGCACACAAAAGACCAGATTTTATGGGGGAGACCAGATTTCATGGGCTATGATAACTTTTAATGACAATAAATTTGGTAGGGCACTAATTCTGAGAGAGCTGGACTATCCTTCATCCATAGTGTTCTCTTATCTTTTCAGTTCAGTATTCAGTTTGGATGTTAATAAAAAAATCAGAATGTATCATAACTAAGTACTATGCAGACCTCTTTCCTTTAGTTATTGGGCTTACAAGTGTCAGTACTTGTTGCATGTATTTCAACAATATAAATATACTTATATTAAAAAGCAGTGTATTGTAACTAGTAGGTGGGCTTTTGAAAACACTAGAATTGTTGAGTTATATGGGGAGCTTTTATAACTTGACTTTGAAACATGCCATTTTTATTGTCACAAAGGCTCTTTGGTAATAAGAATGATGACATGTTTTAAGGGGAAAATAATTGTTTATAAATATAATTACCTGTATAATATATAGGTTTTTGCTGAACATTATTTTGCTTTGAAAAATAGTTTTATAACATCAAAAATATAATACAAAAAGTAGCGTTTCTAATTTAAATGTCTGGTTTTTTATTCTCTATCAAAAACCAAGTAAAAAGAAAGTTATTTTGCTGTGAATACCGTCAGCCTGCTTAGAGAGACAAGATAGTTGAGATAATAACTTTTATTGGACAATCGTCTGTCAGTGAGAGAGACCTGCTGAAGAGCTGTGTGTGACTTGAAAGCTTGTCTCTCTCACTAATAGAAAATGATCTAATAAAAGAGATCACCTCACCCACCTTGTCTCTAATATCCTGGGATCCACACAGATACTATGAATAGTTATTTCTGAATCATTGGCTCCCAGATCACTGCTCCATGAGATCTGGATTCATTTCATGATTCTGCCAATGGTTCACTTGTGACTTCAGGAAAGTCGCTTAACCAGTCTGTGCCTTAGTTGGTCTGTAAAATAGAGGTAACAGTGTGTGTATACCCTCCTTTTTTAAAGCATTTTGAGATCCATGTTGAGTTCATTGTATGGATTTAGGTACCCATTTTTCAGTACCTTGTCTTCAATATATTGACCTACAATAGTGCAATGCATTGGAAGTGCTGTAAAACCCAGGGATCATTTTGAAAATCTGAATAGATTTTAATGTCTATTCCTTAATTAAGCTGACAATTGATATTTTTCTTTTGAACTGTAGAGTAGCATTTAAATCCATCAAATTATATGTGCGCCCAAATCTCCTGTTCATTAAAATGAATAGCCACGAATGTGAATATCAGCAGGAGAAAAACATTGTTTCATTGGCTTAAATTTTTTAAGTGTTTATTCCTTTTGAAGTTTGACCAGAAAGAAAAGACCACACTGCTGGGGAACAGAAAAGACTACTGGGATTACTTTTGCGACTGTCTGGCTAAAGTCAAAGGAGCTAATGATGGGATCCGCTTTGTTAAGTCTATTTCAGAAGTAAGTAAATCAGACTGATTATCATTGCAGTAGGCGGTTTGTGTTTCTGCATGTCCATTAGGAGAGCTACAGAACTCAAAAAGAAAAGTGCTGGGGTTTAAGGTAGAAAGAATGGGACTTTTTGGTCCGTCTATGCAGAATGTAAAACCAAAAGGTAAGCAACGTTTATTATTCATCACATTTCTCAGGGTTAGATTGTACAATCTATATGCATGCTGGTATAGTCTCTTTGACCTCGTCAAGTCCTGAATTATTTTAAATTACATTGTCTTATCAGTTACACTTTAAAAATATGATGAATGCTAGGTAGGGTCTTTGTTTACAGTTAGGCTGTGTCTACATTGGCACCCCTTTCCGGAAAAGGGATGCTAATGTAGACTTCGGAATAGCAAACCCCGCGGATTTTGCTATTCCGAAGTCTACATTAGCATCCCTTTTCCAGAAAGGGGTACCAATGTAGACACAGCCTTAATGTATATGATTTAACAATGGGGATAAAACTGATATAGAATTAAGGGGGCAATTCCAGCGCCCGTGTGAACAGGTTTCTTGAGGGCAGGATTTGATCCAATTCCAGGGGAGAAAATAGTAAGATTTTACCATTCTTGTCACTTGGTCTATGGAGTTGATTGGGAGTCACTGAGCATGGAATTTGGTTCCCTATCTCTACTCATTTAATGCTTGTGCAGTGTGTTGGAAATACAATACCATATGACTATTGAGAATTATGATTATTGTTATAATCTGTGGTGAGCTGACATGAAAGAATACAATGTGATATGGTTCTTGCTGGGCTAAGCAAAGTACATTTTAGTAAGTAACAATAATAAAAACTAAAACCACTATCAACTGAGAAGAAAGCCTTAGTCTCTAAATCTATTAGTCAATGTGGTAAGCACTGCAAAAAGTTTTTAAGGTTGATCCTTTCTGAGTCATTAGAATAAATATAAATCACTTAAATAAGGACTTTTGGTATGGTAAGTGGTGCGCTGTTGTTGGCTATGCTGGTTGTTGCCCTGGTATTTGGTTTTGATGATTACAGGGCTATTTATCATCTAGTCTATCAGGACTTCCAGGTAACACCCTTACTGCTGCTATCATGCAGCTTCTCTGTACGATTAGAGAGGCAGCCATGAGACTAGGCGCCCCCCAAGGAGACAACCGGGCCTGCCACTAGCGCACCCAGCCCTTGTGTTCCCCAGCTTTCTTCCTTCTCCTCATCCCCTTCCTTCAATCTTCCATTTTGTTTTAGGGAACTCCCCCCACACTCCACTCTGCTTTCTCCCTTGGTTTTGTGGTATGAAACATTCCTTTTTCTCCAGCTTCTTCATTTAGCCCCAAATTGATCATCTTCCCTTTGGTGCTTTAAATAAAATCTCAGTGTATTTATATTGTACAGCTAGATACACATCAGATTTTGATGCATCTGGTTTTGCTGCATATAGTCCATGGGGCAGACACACCAGATACCTTCCATCTCCACTTGTGTAGCCCAGGGGTTCTCAAACTTTGTGATACCACGACCCCCTCTAAGTTGCTTGTGACCCCCCCAGAGGGTCGGGACCCACAGTTTGAGAAACGCGGGTATAGCCCAATGAGCCCAGTGGATGCATCGCGTTTTCCAGGCCTGTGGTACTAGTTCTTGAATTTTGGTTTGACAAGAGACAAAACTAATTATACTTCTCTCTCCTCTCTATCCACCTGATATGAAAATCTTTCTTGTCTGCCTGAAAGATTTTTGTCTTTTTTTAAAAACTATGTACAACATTCTTAAGTGTCGGCATTCAAAAATATGTATTATTTTCTTTAATTTCATAGGAAATGTATGGTGTTATGATTTGACTGTGTCAGAAATTTCCTCTTTCACTTTCTGTGGAGCCACAGAAATTTGCAGGAGGAATGAGTTTTTAAAATAATTTTGTTTACTTGTGGTTGTACCTTTGGGTACTTTGCTATTAAGATATTTAGAGAAGGTGACTCTCAGGGTCACCCCTCACGGCTGGGGAACCTTTTTTGGATTGGGGGCTTCTGACCCACAGATAAATCAGTCAGGGGCTGCACATAATTGAGAAACAAAAAAGAAAAACCAAACCTTCACTGACAGGGCCCCCCGATTGAGAGAGAGAAAGACTCTCCCCACATTCCCTTCACACACCAGAGCCTCATGGGAGGGGGGACAGGCTAGTAGATTGTGTGCTCCAGCCCCATGGTGGGATGGGGGGGATCAAGGGGAGGGCTGGAGCACCAGTACAGGCTCCCCAGTGCTAGAGGGAAGCCCCGAATCTTGGGAGCCAGATCCAGGCAAGCTGCAGCCTTAGGTTCCCCACCTCTGCCTTATATCATTTCCAAGAGCCCAGTTGCTGTACAGGTTCTTGATATGTGTGCCCAGAAATATTAATAACTGGTTTGTCAGTGTGCCATTGACAGAAGTTTATAATGAGTGTCTAAAGTTTATCTTCCTGTGGTTTGTTTTTCCCAGCTGAGAACATCTCTTGGTAAAGGAAGAGCATTCATACGTTATTCCTTAGTACACCAAAGGCTGGCAGACACCTTGCAACAATGTTTTATGAATACCAAAGTAACCAGGTAAATGCAAAGGTACCGTTGTGATGCATGAGAGATACCTGGAGACAGACAAACAGTGAAACTGGGACTGATTCAGCGTCCCACGAATTAAATGGAAAGCCTTCCACGTGGTTGTCTCAGAACACTGGTTGTAGGGAATAAAGCCTGTGTAATCTAGGTCACAGTTTTGCACCCATATTAGGTCAGTAAATATGAGCAGCTCGTCATAATGCAATTCCTCCTCTTAGACCAGGGTCAATACCAGGGCCGACTCTAGGTTTTTTGCCGCCTCAAGCAAAAAAATGTTTGGCTGCTCCCCCTCCCTTTTTTATCTGGGGAGGGTGCGCACACAAATGCAGCTTGCACGGCTTGCTGGAGGTGCGTGCGCAAATGGAGCTTGTGCGGCTTCCTGGGGGGTGGGGCGTGCGCTTCAGGGGGAGCCCAAACCCTGGGGCATTTTCATCTCCTAGGATAGCACCAGAGACTCTCCACGTGAGGACAATGGGAGGGCAGGTTCACCCACAGCAAGTCAGTTAAAGACTTCTAAAGCAAGCAGCTGTTCACATCAGCTAGTGCTGGAGTCCCGGTCCCACTCCTCACTCTGTAAAATCATAGAATAATAGGACTGGAAGGGACCTCGAGAGGTCATCGAGTCCAGCCCCCCGCCCTCAAGGCAGGACCAAGCTCCGTCTACACCATCCCTGGCAGATGTCTATCTAACCTGTTCTTAAATATCTCCAGAGAGGGAGATTCCACCACCTCCCTTGGCAATTTATTCCAATATTTGACCACCCTGACAGTTAGGAATTTTTTCCTAATGTCCAATCTAAACCTCCCCTGCTGCACTTTAAAAAAAGAGGTTTTATTATTGGAAGCCTTATAATCACTCAGGCTATGTCTAGACTGCAAGCCTCTTTAGAAAGAGGCTCTTTTGAAAGATACTTTCGAAAGAGCCTCTTTCGAAAGAGAGCGTCTAGACTGCAGGCGGAACTTTCGAAAGAGCAAGCCGCTTTTTCGAAAGAAAGCACCCAGTGAGTCTGGATGTTCTCTTTCGAAGAAGCCCTATTTACATTCAAGAACGCCTTCTTTCGAAAGAA